CTACAGTTCAGTTTAAAACCATGTAGTGAAACACCATTGCATCAGAATTGTTTTCTATAATTTAATCAATATGGTTTCTTACAACAGCTGGATTAGTTACAAAATGGGAACAGAGATCCCTTACATTAGCAGTAACAGGTGATGTGCGGTTTGTTAGACTATGGGACGCAGAGACTGAATTGAAAAAACAAGATATACCGACAGGTGCTGATTGTTGTGCTACGTGCATTGATGTTGACGGTACAGGTTAGCTCTTTGTTTCGTATTCATATAAATCAAGTTGATAATACCAAATTAATTATACTTTTATATATATTATAAAATGTTGTGTTTATTATTGTATGCAGGTGTAATGATGGCAGTAGGTTGCGGAGATGGTTCTGTTCGCTTATTCGATAGAAGATTACCTCCATTAGAATCAAGAGTCATGATTTGGAGAGAGCATACAGCATGGGTATTAAGTACATCTCTCAGGAAATTTGACAGATCTGCACCACAATTGTTTACCGGATCATCTTCAGGAGATATTAGAATATTTGATCTTAGGAAAAATTCTTCTATAAGCACGGTGCAAATAACGCAAGGTATAACGGCATTGGCAGCGCATGAAATGGCAGATATTTTTGCATGGTAAGTTTTATAAGTTAAGTAAATTTCACTAGTATGTTATTGAAATAAAAAGAAATAGCATACATTTTTATTTGAAGTAATTCTAAAGTCTAAAGTTACTAATTCATGTTTCAGTGGGTCAACAAATCATTGTATAAGTATTTATAACACTATGGGTCAACATCTAAATACCATAAAATTCCACGAAGGATTTATGGCTACCCGTATTAGTCCTGTAAGTTGTTTAAATTTTCACCCCTATCGTGTGATTCTAGCAGCTGGATGCGTTGACAGTACCATTACTGCATATGCATCTGAACCAAGGAGATGACTAATAGAGATGGAATTGCAGTAAAATTGTTTTCGAAAATATTTATAAATTCATGGTACTTGATATCCTTAGCATTAGTAGCGAACAAAAGAAACTCCAAGATAGAAATATTCGAGTTGATTTTAAATATCGGAATATGACTTCTAATATTTCCAATTACGTATTTATGTTTTTCTACTGCGTTTTCCTTGTACAAAGGATGTTTTTTGGTATTAGTTTCATCGTATGAAACTAATAATAGGTTTGCGATTGTGCAACGTATGGATAAAGTAACCAAAGTCTGTTTAGACGACCAAAGAAAATGAAACAGGAAATACGCGTACACAAAAATGCAATTTTTTTAAAAACGCAGTTGAAAATCTATGTTCTTATAAATAGTAATGCATAAAATATGCAAATGTGATGCAACGAATAGGATATGGGTGCATGTATAAATGTTTAATGAATATTTAACGGAGCTTGTACATGCGCAAGAAAATATTATTAATTATTGTGCCATGTAAAATTAGATTCAATTAAGTACACTAATTACATATTACTTCAATTGTGGTGATCGAATATATAATTCCTTTTTTTTACACATAATCAATAATTTCTTTCATTAATTATATTTATCTCCTAATACTCTCATTCATTTTTTAAACAAAGAAAGGAATTTTCGATTTTAAACATTGAAGGATTTTTTATAATTTTAATTTATGACAGTGCAATAATTCATTAGATAGGTTATAAATAATAAAATATATAAATAAGTGATTTTTAAGATTGTATCTAAACTAAGTATATTATTTCTATATTAATTTTATTAATAATTTTGTAAACAGCCTGCTGTATATTTTTATTTATAACTTTATTAAATTTTGGTTACAATTATAGGACAGATTATACATCATTATTTAAATATTGAATATTAGGTATTTATCATTGTGTAATTACAATGTTTGAAATGGTATTAATGTTATACACATCCCTGCAAGTAAAATAATCATATGGTGATATGTGTATGTTGCTACTATGATCATTTATTATTAATGTAATTGTTTATTGCTATTTAAATTGAAAGAAAATCGTGAATGTACACAAAAATGAAGCAATTACATTTCATATATTTCATGTCATATATCATGTATTATGCATTAATATACTTTATGTATATTAATAACACAAACGGAAATTAAATTATATAAATTATAAACAGAAAAGAAAATAGGTATCAAATTAAACAATAATGCTGTACATACAATTATATATAGACTATTAAATACAGTACTAGAAGAATCATTGTAAGCAGATATATCTATTTCCTCAAATTACTTAATTTTTTATTGGCATTGACATTTGAAATGATTTATTATAGTTGGATATGTATAAAAGTAGAATTTTCGCACTACATGCTTCAAACGTTAATATTAATATGTAATTACGGAAAAAGAGCGTTTTTATTTGCCAAAGTTATAAAAAAGTTGTAAAAAGTTCTAATTGTACAATACAAGTAGAATGATACGTAGAATGTTTTTGTTCATATATACAGAAGCTTATATATACATTTAAAATATATTTAATTGCTAGTAAAAGGCATATTTATTCCTGTAAAAAGTATAAATTAATTTTAAGTAGTATATTGACATAATATTACAAATTTTCATGATTAATATGTTTTCATGATTATATCAAACACTTTGATGATAGGCTTTTGAGTCTGTTTATGTGTAGGATTTAATAGTAATTTCAGAGGAGCTATAAAATGTACTTAATAATAGCATTAATTGTTAAAAATGTAAATGCCTAAAACCATTTTTGTACATAGTAAGTATAGTAATGTTATCATTTCTTTTTATGTGAATAGTCATCAGAAATTTCAATATTGAATAGTTTAAGAGTGGATCTGATGCATTACTTTATACTGTACTTGTTAGTATGATTAATTTACAATAAATAAGATTCAACCACGTTATCCGAATGTTAAATTAATTTATACATAATTTACATTAATATTTTAGATCACTAAAAGTAAAACAAATCTGCTTTCTAGGTTTTCTATAGTTAGGTTAAAATTGTTCCATGTAAAAACAAATCGATTGTTCTGTAATTTAATCTTCGTACCTAGCCAACATTTATACGCTCTTATGTCACAAACGCCAAACTTTCAAATTTGGACACTCTCGGATTACAAATTCCGAAGTCTACAAATTATCAAATATATTCGCCCTGATTTGTCTTTCCTCTGTTCGTATATTTTACCCACCGTGTATACATATAAATGGTGTATAGTAAAAAATGTATGGTGATGGAAAACCTAAAGTCAGCCACATTGCGTGATTGAATAAAGTTTATCGTAAAATAAATAATCGATCTCTAAAAAATACTTAAATGTTGATACTTCTGTTTCATTTGTTATACATGTAAAACATAACGTATATAGTGTTTTTTTTTCTTTTTTTTTTTGAAGTAACGTGCAAAAGCAATTCGAATCGAGATTCGAATTATTTTTAATTCAACCACGCATGCGCGATAACCAAATGACGCGCAAGCGTATTGACAACGATTTTGACGCCAGCATTCATATTTACTGATCTTTTAGTTTTTTATTTATTCCTATTTTCATTTAGTTTATTTTAGTTCTTTAGTTTATTTTATTTATTTATTTCACTTTTTCTACCATCTCTTTACAAGTAAAAACATACTTTCTTTCTCGTTTAAAATTTGATGGGGACTTAAATTGTTACCAAAATATAAATGTAATTCGTATGCACAGTTAGTTAATCGACATTCTATTACATTATCGAGAGATTAAGTTTGGAGCACGTGTTTCTTGTTATTGATTAATAAAAGACATAACATCTGGGAGGTATAATTTAAACATAGTAAAGGGATAATACTATATATGAACATAAATCTTTTCTTTTATTAGTCGTTCATTTATATCACACTAGTAATATTAAACTAGTAGCAAACTCCATAATAGTGTATTAATGAATAACGAAGACGCAATCAGCTATTTTCTAATAATGACATTTAATGACATTTACGAAACAGTAAGTTATAAATCACAATTTATTATAACTATTATCGAATGTTTCCTATTATCCATTTAATTCGCTTGTAACTGAGATTCATCATACGTATTTCAATCACTGACGTACTAAATTGATGAATCAGAAGTAATAGTCAATAATTCTCATTTTCTATATAGACAGTGATACAACACGCTTCATACTTGGGATACCAATAGCATTCCAAGAAAAATTACCAGAATTCGCCGTCATCAATTAGAACTGGCTGCTATTAATTCGCATCGTGCGGTTCTGAACGATGATTACCTGCGGGTTCCTCGTGCAAATATTTGAAAGGTGCATTCAGGTATGCACAGTTTGCTTTATGACGGCACTAAAAGGAAGCTATAATACGTGCATGCGCCCTTTAAACAATATTTACCCTTACTTCCATATTTTTTTCGTAATCTTATCTTTTTTTTCGCCTTAGATTTCGACCATCTCCATGACCTGTTGCGCGCATTAGTAACCAGTGTTGTCAGATAAGAATAGCTTAGGGGTAATGACCTTATTTCGTGACATTTGAAATTCTGTATCCTCCGGCAATTTTGAAATATGCGTGAATCAGCGCATAAGTATAGAAAGTTGTGGAAAGACATCAATATAATCCTTTAATTACTCGTTTTATCTATGGTATTTTAAATTTCTAAATTGCGAAAAGACTACCAAATTTAGAGGTTTTAAACTTCCAAATCTTTGAATGATCAGATTTTTAAATTTTCGAGCTTCTGCATCACCAAATTTAATTTAATAACTTTTTTTAAATTTCTGAATTTTCTAATTTCAAATTGACATTTTAAAATTGATACCAGGTGTCAAATTTTTAAATTCGGAAATTATAAATTATATCACCTTTCAAACTTCTGCAGTGACTTGGAGGTTGGCAATGTACCAAATTTTTAAATTCCTAAAGTTTGAAATTCCTAAATTTGAAAGTTGTTAAAATAAAAAATTGGAAGTTGCTAATTTGGAAACTCGAAAGGTGCTAAACTCGGGTAGAAAGTTTCTATATTTAAAATTCTGAAAATGTCAAGATAGTGTAAATTTTGAAATTGTCCATATCATGTATGATTTTCTTATACCCTGTCCTCGTTCCAGAACCACCCACGTCACTTATGAGCATTCATTCATAAATACCATATGTAGGGAGATGTGATTTCATGTTTATTTCATGTTAGAATGAGCACCCATTATTAAACTACGAACTGTGATTCAGGCCGGTCAAGGCACGTGCGTCGTATGCGTGGATGGGGCAGCAGAACGAGGCGCAGCCGCAGTCGTCGCTCGGATCTCGAGCGAGATGGTCGCGTATAGAACCTTTTTATAGGTAGACTCGCGAGTATCGGTTAAACCTTGTTCGATCTATTTCGAACTGTTCGTCAGGACAGTCTTTGTCCCAGTTATTCTACATGACAACGACACTTTCGTGTGTTCCTTCTTGTGCACTCGCCGATCATCGATCATTCCTCTGTTGAACGTGAGTTCGACGAAGCACGAAAACAGAAAAAACAACAGTCGTGATTCGAATCGCCATGGATCGCTCGTCGAAATTGATTCTACGGAAGATGATCATAGATATCGTGTGCATGTTGATTGGTAAGTGAATTATAAGTTTACACGAGTAGTCCATAAATGTCCCCGCGGTTCGCAGCAAGTTGTATATAGGACTGGCTCGGGAGATTCCTTTGTATTCACGGTAGAAGGGTACGATGAACGATGATTATGTTATATCGAGCGGCTGTCAGATTGACAGTCGAGGCGCCGCACGCGGTCTGTTTGATGTTTAAGCGAACTAACCTTTAAATTAGCAACCGCTTGTGTCGTACAGGATAACATTAAGGTTTCGTGCCCTGTTATTGCGCATGCACGGTTTCGTATTTCAATAATTTATTCGATTGGGTATTGTGTTTCATTAAAATTCGTGTAAAAGTGCAATTTTTCATTTTACGTTACTTTCGCTCGAAACGTTACTTGTATACACAGATGAGTCTATTCTATCTTAAAGTAACTGTGACATTTATGTTCCAACTTTGAATATAAAATCTTTATTTGTTTTAATATCTACTTTTCTATTATGATTAAACGAGTATTTGTTTACTACTTTTAATCATTTCTGACTGAGTAAAGAAACTGATTCAAATACTATTGATAGTGAAGGGTTGTGTACATTTTATGGGGGGTTAATCTACATTCTAGGGGGATCAAGCCCCTCGGTCCCTGCACAGTGACGCCAATGGTTTTCACAGATATACAGTGGAACCTCGATCGATTGTCTCGAATAATCGCTCTTTCAGACATATCGTTTATCCTTTGGTTCAGTAGGTCTCTTCGAAAAACGATAGATCGACGTTCCAGTGCATTCGAGAATCGAAATTATCCTACTCAAACCGAACTTTGTGTACACACGAGTTTGTAGGGTAAATTCTGTTCGACCGTAATCACTGTTTATCGAATGAGGTTTCATTTAATAAGTATTTTGATTTCCCAATGTTTGACGATAGAAGCACTCTTTGGTGCGATCGATTTAATTGGACAATGAGCAGTGGCGACACAGTTTCATTTAACGGACCACATAGTGCGCTGCAGTTATCTGATATTTTTTTCTACTTCTAATTCATATGAATTACAAGAAATCGTATCTGTTTTTTATGGAGATATTAATCGTATTACCGGTGTTGCAGCCGCCAAGCGTAACTTAATATCGAGAACAGGAAGATAAGTTTTTATCAGCCGAGATTACGTTGATTAATTATTTATTAATTTTGAGTTAATTGATTAATTAACTTGTTTTCATTGGAAACTAATGGTTATAAATCAGCGCAGATATACAATTATAAATTTCAAACGCAACAACAACTTCGTAGAAATGTAATATGGTTGTACAGAAGGTTCCAATAAAATTTGTAACTATAGATTATTATAGGTAAATATACAATTATGTAGCTATATATTTTATTGAGATATACAGCCATTTTAAAATTATGAAAAACCGGTGCTGCGTTTGACAACACTGATGCAAATCTGCCTAACCTAACCTGAATTTAACAGTAATCTAACCTAGAACGACCTAACGTACCTATGATTGCATCTAACCTAAAACGTAGCTATGACCTAATCTAACTATGATCGGTTTTAGCTACAACTGAATCTTACACCGACTAGTCTCACTAATTACACACTGACTTAACCAATCCTCGATCTAACTTTATGCTAATCTAACTTAACCTTGACATATCGATATAACACCACACTTTTCATTTTTATCGCTTTATGTAGAAACAAGTGTTAGGATCTTAAATAGATTTTCTATGTCTTATAGATAAATATAATTTAATAAGTTAAGTTTAATTATAACTTGTCTAATATGTTATCCATCTAATTTTTTTAAATGGCCGCCATGTTTGCTTCTATATTAACATACACAGTGCATAAGCACATATTTTGTTTGCACGAATGTACTTACTTTCATTGAGACTATAATGGTGTTATTGATGGTATGGCTTTTACAGATAATGTTCAATGATCGGGAGCAGAAGTACATAATATATGTAACTAGTAAAAGAGAAACGTTTCTAAAGAGAATGGAGAATTGTAAACGTAGATGAGGAACAGATAACGCAAGAATATGTGTTATTCGTAAGGAAAAGTAGGTCGAGGACGTACGATTACGTCAAAAGTTGTACGTGTATGCCTATTTATTCCTGGTCAATCTTTGTCACGTTTATTTTCAAGTTCAACGCACGAACAAGATTAACTGTTTGCAATTTTCTTATAGGTGTCTGGTTATCGACTTAGTTTTATAGCCGAAACGTGACATCGCCATCTTTGTCTTATCAAAATTGTGTTATTCTGCAAGCGTGATGTAATAGGTTATTTTATTTACAATAGATTTCTATTACATCGTAGTGTACATTGTGATAGTTTGTTCAATATTTGTATATAGTTGTACAAATACGTTCAGTTACAAATATTAATTGACACGTAAATATTTCAATTTATATTTTTATTATTAATTAAATCATCTAAGGTTTATAATTTTTTTTTCATTAATGCATTTGTCATTTAGAATATCATTTAAAATATCTTATCATTTAGAATATTTATTTATCCACATCGGAAATTGAGTATTACGTTTTATCAGATTAATATAAAAAATGTAATTAGGCTTTTGTTCGCGTATGTACCGGATTAAATTCTTAACGTATCAGTGTTTTATTAGGAAATAATGAGATTCAGAGAATTATAAAAAACTCGATCTAGATAAGAAAATTAGGTATCGTTTTGTCACTCGACTATCGTTCTGGTTGATTATTCTATTATTCATAGTTCTTCGGTTGATTATTATACTAGATATACTCTATGTGTCACGGTTAATCATCCATGACTATTGTTTTAATTGAATGATTAACATACAGTTGCACTGTCGTCAATGTTAAAATAGTTACGTCAAAAATTTCACTATTTTTAAAAACAATCGCAATGTATGCAAATTCGCTGAAATATTTCAAAAGGTCAGCCTTGAGCTTTAACATCGTTCTATGCTGTTCACAGAAGTCTAGAGTCTATTATTTCATGGCGTGTCAAAAAAACAGGGTCAAACTACAAATATACACATGTAACACTTATCAAAACAAATGAAATATTAATGAGATGAGTACAAGAGTCATTACTTTCAAAGATACTAGACCTTGGAATTTTGCAATTTTTGATAGAAAAATTTTGTGAGTTTTGAACTATTAAACTTCTTAATTTTTATACTTGAAAATTTAGTTTTGAAATTTTGTGTTCTTACTTAATAATTAAAATTTTGGGACTTTAGAATTTATTAACTTTGGAATTTTAATTTTAGAGATTTTTTAACTATTGAACTCTGTAGTTTTGAAATTTAAAAATTTTGAATTTTTTGGGTTTTGAAACCTTGAATCCTTATTGTTTTTTTTTCTTTTTTTGAATTTTGGATTCAGGATTTTGAGATTTATGATTTAAAAATTTTAGGATTTTCAGATTTAAAATTTTAAGACTAGGATTTTGAGATTTTAAGATTTTAGGATTGTGAGGTTTAAGATTTTAACTTCTGAAGATTTTGAAATTTTCAGATCTTGGAAATTTGTAACTTTTGGTCCCTAGAATCTTAAAATTTTTGAAACATACTTTCTAAAATTTGTAATTTTTTATTTTTAATATTTTAGAAGATATACTATAACCGAATAATTATTAGAAATTACAACTTAAAAACTGTGATCCCCCATTCTATATATTAACCATAGAATTTATTCAATACACATATTCGTCTATAAAGTTTACTTATGTACCCACAATTTGAACGATAAATATTTAATTAAATAATTCCTAAATAATAGAATGAATACAGTGTTCTTTTCTGGTATTCGCTTGTTCAGTCGGTATCTTTTGACGGGCTGGTTGTTCATTTAGCTTCCCATTATTTGCTCTTTGAGTTAGTAACTGGTGTGAAACGTGCCCTTCACGATTCTCCCTAATAACCGGACCCTTTCAAACTTCGTTAGGCCACACAAATAGGTTCAATTCACTGTACAGCATTGCGGACAATTTCGTCGGAACCTGTGACACCACATGTTACAACGTATAATTGTGTTTTATGGGAGTGGTTCTCAAACTGTGCGTCACGAAATAGTCTAATACGTATCATAAACTGCAATTATATTTATCTCATGCGGGCTTACAACTGAATTATTAATATGTTAAATTACTGTTTAAAGAGCAGGTGTACTTCAAAATTTTATGAATATAATTAAAGATGGCGCTGTGGTCAACCGCCTAAAAGTTTCACCGGTTTTGTTTTTCGTGTACCTCACAAGCATAAAAGGGCTACATCGTATACACAAACATGCTCTTTTATATGAATTTTATTGATAGATGTGATTTTGATCAATCAAATCCTTTTTCCTTCAGTGAGACTTCTTGTAAGAAACACGCAGTACAGTAAAATTTCAACATAAGCAAAAAAATTATCAGTAGCACTTGAAGATCTATCGACACACCCTGAAGCTCGCTCGTTGCGAAATATAACACAATCCAAATTCGGGTATATCCGTGAGTCAACCAATGCAAATATAAAATTGTGTAATTTTTTATCTTTCGTTATCACACTTTTATCAGTTGATTTTTTCATATTTTTCTGATTAAAACGAGACCAAATACGATATAATTTGAACTATATTTACTGGTGTAATTGAAGATACGTTTTGATCCCACAGTAAGATAAGCGAAAAAGAAACACTGCGATTGTGGCAGTCGCCAAAGGTCAAAAGTTTGTTTTATCATTTACAATATCGATGCGTTGCTGTTTTATTTTTAGCTCACTTTTTATATAATTTTTCTCAACTAATTTGTGATGTTTTCCTGGTTAAGATCAAACATAACGTAATCTGAAAATTATTTATTTGTAATAACTTTAAGTCATTGACATATGCAAAACGCCTGGAATTATAAATAAATATGTTTCTAATTATGTTGTAATTTATCTCATTTTAATCCGGAAAATGTTAAAAACATGTTGGAAAGAATTTCATAACGAAATAGCCAAAAATAGAAAAGTTTTATTCTTGCATCAGGAT